AAAACAGTGCCACCAACTGGGGACAAACTGTCCAAATACTTGGAGCCTATGGGGAACATTTTCATTCAAACCACCACATTCCACCCTGGCCCCCATAGGCTCATGACCATATAAAATGCAAAATGCATTTAGTCCAACCTTAAAAGTCCCCATAATCGTTACCAGTCTCAATACTATTCAAAAGTCCACAGTCCAAAGTCTCTTCTGAGACTAGGCAAATATCTTAGTTGTAAAATCAAAAGACAAATTACATACTCCCAACATACAGTGGAACCGAATACACATTACCATTCTAAAAGGGAGGAATGGAGGTATAGTGAGGAAATACCAGACCAAAACAAGACTGAAAACCAGCAGGACAAACACCAAATCCAGTAGCTTCATGTCCAACTTCTGGGATTTTACTTCCAAAGGGCTTAGACGGCTCAGCCTCTCTAGCTTTGCTGCGTGCAACACACATCTCTCTCAGGCTGGTACCATTCCCTGTATGCAGGTCTTCTTTGCAGATGCCTCACAGTTCTGGCATCACAAATGTCTTCTTGGGGTCTCCATTGCCAACTAGGCTTCACCCTCACAGCTTCATGCAATGTCCTATCAGGGCCTTCTCTATGCAGGAGAACCCCTGCTTCACGCTGCCTGGCCTTGGTGGCTCTATGAAACCATGGAGGAAGAACTGATGACCCCTTCACTCCTGCAACTTTCATGCCTCTAGGTGAAATGACACTGCCGAGTTTGACTGCAAGTTTTTGATAGACTCCAGCCTGTTTTATCCATTTTAGAAGCTTTTCTCTTCAGTGGCCCCTGCAGCATTTTCCTTTCACAAGTTGGAGGCTTAACTGGGTGTGGTCTTGCCCTAGAGGCACTCTCTCCATTGTTTAAGTGCAAATCTCTAGGCCCCTCCTTAATCACTTTAATCTCCTTATCAAAGGGTTCCTCTCCAGCACACATTAGGGCTCCAACATTAATCTTCCTAGTGCTCTTTTTCAATCCATCCTGTACATTCTGTATTTCTGCCCCATTTGCTCTTTTTCACTGTATATCTGTATAATATTCACCATTAACAGCCATGCCACCATTTCTAGGTTATACTGTCATGAAATTGCTTCCCACAGAGAAATTAGTCCATGGCTTTTCAACTTAGCCTCAGGCAAGCTTTTTGGCTATGGGCAGACTCCAGCCAGACTCTTTGCCAAAATATCCCAATTGCTGCTAAAGTCCTTATTTCCCTCTGGAACTACATTGCTCTCAGCACTACTTTCTTGCAGGCACCTACCAGAATGGCCTGTTAAGCTCTGCTTACAGTAATCAACTGCTTTTCTAGCCCAAACTTCCAAAGTCTTCCACATTCCTCCAAAACCCCACATGGTCAGGTTCTTCACAGTCAACAACTCTTAGTACCAGTTACTGTATTAGTCACGCTTCTGTTGCTGTGATAGAAACACTGACCAAAACAACTTATAAAAGGAAGAGTTTATTTGAGCTTACACTTCCAGGGGAATTACAGTCCATCATGGCAGGGAGGCATGGTGGCTGGAGGTGGCTGGAGCAGGAGCAGCAGAAGCTAAGCTCTCACATCATCAAGCAGGCACAGGAAGCAAGAGAGTGACTGGATATCCGGCAAGGCTTAAGAACTCTCTAAGCCCACCCCCTGTGACGTGCTTCCTCCAGGATAGCCATAACCTTCTAAGATCTCACAAAACAGCGCCACCATCTGGGGACAAAATGTCCAAATACTTGGAGCCTATGGGGGACATTTTCACTCAAACCACCACACTATCCTTAAAAAAAACAGCAACTTGTTTTGATCATATAACCTCAGTTATTAAGTTCACTTACTGACTTTAGGACTTATATTTTTATTCTTTAAAATTGCATTTACTTGTGTGTGTGTGTGTGTGTGTGTGTGTGTGTGTGTGTGTCAAAGTCAGAGGCCAGCCAGCAGGTATCACATCTCTCCTTCCACCATGTGAGTTCTGGGGATTGAACTCAGGTCATCAGGCTTGGCAGCAGTCACCTTTACCTGCTGAGTCATCACACCAGCCCTGGGAATTTCACTTTAAATCAGTTAAGAAAAAACTTACACAACAAAACAGCATTGTTTATGGTGTATCTGATAGGATTTTGCCTAAAGGGGAAGAGGGAGTGCTGGAGGGTAACCAGTACTACAATTCCCAAGAAAGCAGTAAAGTCTACAGTAGCAGAAAGCCCTAGAGCCAGGAAAGGTAGATAATGCTGATAACTTACTTATCATCTGTAACTCAGGTACAGAGGCGTTGGATGAATCTCCAGGACTGACTGGGGCTTGGAAAAAGTCAAGGTTCAGAGCCTATATGATTGTCCGAGCAACAAGAAGTTAGAGGTTCAGCCACAGAGCTAATAACAGGAGGAGAATGATAGATTTATCCAAATTCCAACAAATTATTATCTGTTATTGGCTGTGAGTAGTATGCTTACTCATGTGAACTCATGAGTACTAACTCTGAATTAACTCTTGTACTGACATAAAATTAAACTGTGAGTCGGGTGCTATAAATCTGCTTCTTATGCAGGAACCAAGGAGGAAGGCAAAAGGAATACTCTTCCTCCTGGATTTTTAGCAAGTTTTCTGCGAAGGCCTTGAGTTAGTGCTTATGGATGGATATTCTTACCCAGTCACTCAGCACTGCTTCTAACCTGTGTACTGCCAAATTTCATAACCAGGACAGTGTTGGAATTGGTGGCCACACTTCCTTTCCTCGGCCTTTTGCTTCTCTCTCCCTTTGAAGCAGCCGCTCTGGAGGAGCTCATCCAGATCTTCAAGTCTTAACTCAGGGCAGGACCAACTCAAGGCAGGGCTGTCTTGAGACAAGATCCACACGCCTCAATTTCCAAACTCATGTGACCTGATATTAACTAGGCTGCCCAAAGTTCACATATCAGCTTTGTTAACATGTACAAAAGATCCAAAAGTATATGTTAAACTCAAGTTAGTTTAAGAGATGGCAGAAAGTGTAGATGCTTTTCTTTTACCTCTGTACTTTTCTAAGGAAAAGGGGACCGAGCAAGAACAAGAGAATACATATTTTGAAACTGGCAACTTTCAGGTGAGATGCATCAGGGTAAAGGTGCTTGCTGCCAAGCCTGACTGCCTGAGTTCCACCCCTAGAACTCACACATTGGAAGGAGAGAAGAGACTCTTGAAAGTTGCCCTCTGACCTCCACATGCCCACTCTAGCATGCACACTGTGATGGTCTGAATGAGAAATGTTCCGTACAGGCTCATGAATTTGAACACTTGGTCCCCAGATGGTGGTTCTGTTTGTGGAGGTTCTGGAACCTTTAGAAGGTGCAGCCTTGCTGGAGGAAGTATGTCAATGTGGAGGGCTTTGAGGCTATCAGCTGGGCTCCTCCTGACTGCTTGTACAGACAGTTCCCAACTTACAACAATTAAGTTTTTTTTGGTGTTCTGCCAGAGTGAAATTGATATACCTTCAATGGAAATTATACTTTGAATTTTTATTTTATGAGTGTTTGGCAAGCATGTATGTAAGTGCACCTGTGTGGTACAATGGCTATGGAGACCAGAAGAGGGTGGGATCCCCTAGAATTGGAATCATGAACCGTTGTTAGCTGCCATGTGGGTGCTGGGATGTGAACCTGGGTTCTTTGCAACAGCAGCCAGTGCTGTTAACCTCTGAGCCCTATCTTTCCAGCCCCTGAATTTGATCTTTTCCTCCAGACTAGCAATATGCAAAGCTGGGCAGCAGCAGTGAACTGCCAACCAGCCAATCACACAAGAGCAAAGAACTGATACACTACAGTGTGCTGTGTTGCTAAGCTACCGTAGCGCTCATAGGTTGGGGAACCGGAGGCATTTTTGACTTAGTGTATTTTCAGGATCTGATGACATTATCAGGAAGAAACCATCTAAAGTTGAGGAACATCTGTGTAGTAAAATGTGACGACAGAGATATGAGTTGCTTAATTATTAAGCAAAAAGGTACCAGAACATAGTCTTTAAATATTCTCAGCCTATCAATATCGCAGAAAAAAAATGAGAAATGAATTCAGGGGGAACATCAAGGGTGTGACTTATCAACCTTGTGATATGAAACCAGTGTGGGTGTGGACCAAGGTCCTAAAATCTCCAGAGGTGGGAACAGAGGCGGGATTATCCAGGCAGAAACTGCCTGCTAGCCCTGAGGGATAGAGAAAATTAGACAGAAGGAAAGAAAGGCTACCTGTTATGCTTTGAGATCTCACAGGCATTCGGAGATCAGAGCAGAGCAGCTTCTTTCCCCGAAGGCCTGGGTATAGCAGGTGCGGCTGCCTCCACCTGTTTCAGAGGCAGGACCAATGCCCAGCACTCATGTGTGCAAACTCCTGGGCTTTGGGCTGAAGGGGAAGGACCAAGTCCAAGGGACAAGGGGTGACTGTGGGGGTGACTTTGCCATGCCAATGGGTCTAAAGGGTAGGTCTATTGTTCCAACCCAGAAGGATTATTTCTGTCTTAAGACCCAGTGTCTGGACCAGGAGGGAGGGGCTGTTGAAAAGGCCAAGGCCAGGCTTGTGACTGCAAGGCTCCCTCAGAGCAGCAGTGTGGGGAGCAAACGGAGCAACAGACTGAATTTGTAATGAATCTGGGAGTGGTTCAGAGGACAAAGGGAAAGAAGGCCTTCTCTAAGACTGAGAATGAGAAGGGCCTTCTACAGCCTTGGTGGAGGAGTGTCAGAATGAACTACTCTGGGGGTGCTGATTGTCCAGGGTCAGGATCCATAGTGGGTGGAGGTGGCCTGTCCCAGGTACATGGTAAGTTGTTCAAGACACATTGTGGTAGAAATATCCACTTGTTTGGCAAAGTATGTTAAGAAAATGACCCAAATGCCAGAAAAGAGGGGAAACAAACCCAAAACAATAGTTAGCCAAACTTGTTTCTGAGAGAAAATGCTGCTTTAATTAGGACTAACATTAAGGCCTTACCCCACAGATATATTCACACTGTTACTTTTTGAAAACAGGAGAGGTAATCGGTCCACTCATTAGGGTCTGAAGTGATTTTTAACAAGGATTTGCTAAAATTTTATAGAAAATAACCAAGGTTCAGTCCTTGGTATGTCAACTGAGGAGAAAGGGCTGAGCCTCACTTTGGTCCATGGCCCCCGTCCCTGGCCCTGGAGCCTCAAGAGTCACATGTGGCCCTGGAGTCCCCTCCCCTGGAACTGCTACACGTATTGGTTTGGCACGTTTTAAATTTTATTTTACTTTCACATTTACAAACTCAGGAAACCTTTTGGAGAAAAGGAGTGTGTGGCCATTTTTAAGGAAATCTGAGCACACTCCTCCAAACCCTGGGCAGATGCGCATGCCAGGGACTCACTCAGGGAAACCATCCCTCATCTTCAACAGCTGTTTGCTGCTGGCTGGCAGCCCAGGTGGCTGCTGTGGCTTGCTCCTTGCTGTGGCTGGCCTTGCTGCCTGGAAGATGCAGTACTGGAGGCTGCCTCACCCAGGATTTTATTGCTGGTGAACCTGTTTATCTGACTCTTTCAGTCTGGAATGGTGGCACTATCAGAACTGGGTCTGGAGAATCTAGTCTGCTGAGATGAACAGACATGGCAATGTGTAAACAGCCCAGGATTCTGTAATGCTGGCATGGTGTGGCACTTGTCTTCTGCCTGTGTTTCATTTCCCTGGGTTAGTCCATGGACTGAAAACACTTTGTCTTTTCTCTCCTCTAAGGAGAGTGAGTGTCAGGGAGGAGATAGGTGGAAAAGCCTCTTTCTGCTCAACCCAATGGGGGCAGTCCAAGGTAAAAAGCAGGACTCAGGACAGGGAATACCCAGGTCCACAGCAGCCAGGCTCTTCTCTGTACCACATTCCTTTGAAAGCCCCCAAAGTGTTCCTTTTCTTATGTAGAAAGAACCCATCCAGCCTCTCACTTTCCTAAAATGAACCTCTCTGTTGAACGAAGCAGGTGCTTTTTGAGTCAGAGGTCCTGAAACACGGGCTACCATTACAAAGGTTCTGAAAGGGCAGACTGCTTTGTGGTTGCCACCAAATGTCACAGGGGCTCAAAGCTCCAGGAAAGTATATTCTCTCTCTGTGGTCACAGCAGCTTCAAGGTGAAAGAGAGGTACTGAGGTGTCACTGTCATGAGGTGTCATTCTTACTCAGATTTGGCCCTGCAAGGGCCCAGCAACTCTTCCAGCTCTTGAGCTTCTCCATCCCTCCTGAAAGTGCTGGGTGCTGTTCTACAATCCATGGGCCACCCATCAACCAAGTTAGCTTCTAGTGCCACTGCCATTCTGACATGTGAGGGAAGAACTCTAACACTGTGCCATGCTTCCTCTGGCTCTGTTCACCTTTCCTAGGACGGGAATGGTGGCTAGTGACCTCCTAATGACACAGATGGGGTAGGTGGGCTAAGCAGACAGTCAGGTCCAGCATCATCTATTCACAGGACCACTGGGTATGATGGAGGAAGTGTCATTTCTATACTCAGACCTCCATCTAATTAGCCTCCGATCTAGCAATAACTGGATTCACAGGTCCTATGCATTAGTTTAGTAAAAAATCTGGTTTCTGATACCCAAAGAGCTTAAAGTCCCCTTCAAAACGTGCATAGAGGCGCCGGATGTCTCGTTTGCTGATGCCCAGGAAGTAATGTTCCACCTTAGTTCTGTTGTATATGGTAATGCCTGGAGGAATGGTGGGGTATGACACCAGATGGTCTATGCCAGCTTCTTTCAGAATGTATGGGGCATCTTCCTCCAGGGTCTCGTGGTGTCCAATCACACTGTACTTTATCTCACAGGGAGCACAGAGTTCTACATAAGTCACCCAGTGAATGATATGATCTCCAAACTGAAGGTCTAACCATCTGCGGTTTGGATCGCCCAGGTAGCGCACAAAATCTTCAAACTGGATCCCCCTGGTCTCCGTCCGGTTTTTCCTGTATTTCCTAATGATGCCAGGGGCAATCTCATGCCTATACCAAGGTTCAAACCGAGGATTGTGAACAAACTTGTCCTTAAAGGCAGAAATCAGTCTTTCAAAGGGATCTCTTACAATAAAAAACTTGAAGAATGTTTTCAATCTAAAGAAAAAAACATAGGATAGGAGGTGAAGTCGATGTCTGGGAGGTAATGGTCCAGATGGGAGTTGGTGGGGGGTGGGGAACCAGACTAAGCCCTGCTGTGAATGTGTCCTACTAGCTCTTCCATAACCATGTACTGGGCACTGACCCTGCCATCAACCCACTCTACAGGCACAGAAACAGGCTTGGAAAGCCCAACTGCCCAAGGTCACAGCACTCATTCTACAGGGTGAATGTGAAGACTGTTTAATCAATGTTCTGTTTCACTTGAATAACCCAAAACTTCAAGTTTTGTTCCTAGGCAGAAAATCATCAGGGCTGGAACTCTGAGTCAGGATTAATCAAGGTCAGAGTTATTATAAGAGGATAGCTTTAAAAGTTCCACCCAGAACTAGGCGTGGTGACCTAGGCCTTTAACTTCAGCACTCAGGAGACAGAGGCAGGTGGATCTCTATGAGATTGAGGACAGCCTGGTCTACACAGTGAGTTCTAGGCCACCTGGAGCTATAGGAAGACCCTGTCTCAAAAGAAAAAGCCAAAACACAAAAAATAAAAACAACAATAGCAAAAAATTCCACCCAGAATTGCCAGGAGGAGTGAAAAAAGGAGGAAAGGAAGGGCTGAAGACATTGAACGCCAGGCTGTATACTCCTGCCAGTGGGAAAGGAAGCCCAGGGCGGCTGTTGTAGGGCAGGAGCATGAGCTTGAAGGGCCTGGACAGTGATGGGAACGAGGACGACAGGGCTGGATCTGTGGTGATTCTGCCCTCACAGCATCTTATAGCCGTCTGAAACTTTCCACCATCTGCCTGTCTCAATTCATGGATTCTACAAAAGCCTCATTAAGTGCTTAGGGGACAATAGGACAGTCCACACCTCGGGGGATTTCTGACAACAGTTTGTGGGGTTGTAAAGACTGAGTTACCCAAGGCCAGAAGCAAATGAGAAGCAAGTTGCTGTGAAGCCAGGAGGGCCAAGCCCAGCCTGGCCCTGACACTGAGGGGCTGCTTTTGCATTCAGATCCCTATAGCCTGGCTGTGTGGAGCCACTCCACAGCTGAAAGGGGAGAACTTTCCTACCCATTAGCTGATAACACCCTCCTTGCCACAATCAAGGAGTCACATCTTCTCTCCTGCCTGTGCTCACTTGCTCACACCACCACTACAGGGGGAGGCACCTGCAGAAGTAGGCATGGTGCCTTAGGAAAAACGGGAACACCCAACTTCCTTTAAATAGAGAAAATATCCTATTATTAAGGGGTCCATGGAACTTAACAAGACCAAAACACAACAAAGCATTGCTCATTTCTAGTGATAAACTAATGGACCATGTGAAAGCCTGAAGAGACATTCTGAAATTCTGCAGAGGGCTGTGGTGAATGGAATGCTGGGTATGCACTGGGCCATTGCTTACCAACACAAAGCAGCTGCCCCAGGGGTCCCTGGAGCCACCTGGCTCACACAGCAAGCTTAAACTGAGCCTGGGGCTTTGCTAAACCTTCTCAGCTTCCAGAATTTCCCTCTAGCCCTGAGGAAGCTGCTCTTACCGCTTCTGAATTCCTGCTTTGCTGAAGGAAGAGAGACGTGGGAGGCCGTTCTTTTCATGGTCATGGACCACATTTTCAGGAATCTCTTCAATGGAAGAAAATGCTCCTGGGAGGAATGAGAAGAGAAGGTGTGTTGGCTGCCCCATTGCAACCCTTCTAAGTGCCCATTGTGTCATCTTGGGCCCCAGTTCCCTATCACATACATGACAATCCCCCCTCCAACATCCTAAGTGTACATTTTTTAATTCCAACTGCTCCTGTGGGTGGGGGTGACAAGAGAGTGAAGAGAAGCTTTCTGTACCACCAGCCAACTGGAGCAAAGAAGGTTCTGTGGGCAAGGAAAAAGAAATGGCAAACAATGACAGCACACAGCACTGGCCCTGCACCTACTGGGCTAAACCATCCCTTAAAGAAAGCTTGGGGCACACAGATGGAATCCCTAAAAACAATTCTACTCTGAGATGGTGGGAAATGCCAGAGGGGCATGACACAAAGTAAAGAACCCACATATGTCCACACCACCATCAGGGTCCCCATCTCCATGGCAGGCTGTGTGTGCTCTCTCAGCACAACACTCCCAGACTAATGGTGATTCTCATGGAACCTCATGACAAATGGAAATAACAAAAGTATCTGATGACAAAAATCCCTGGCCAGAGTTGTGGGATCAGAGTCGAGTAGAAGGACAGGACTGGGGAAGGAGCCCCAGTATCAACATCCATTTGTCCTGAGTCTGACCCAGTGTTGGAACCAAGCAGGGAACCTGGAGGCAGGACAGGTTTTCTTTTCCTCATATAGACAAATGGAAACAAACTGAAATGAGGCCCAAAAGGGCTCAGCCATACCTTGGCAAACCATAGCCTCATGCTGATCCTATGCTGGCAAGCTTTAAGTCCTGGCAAGGAAGCTCTCCTGGGTCACCATATAGAAGCCATAGCCTTGACCAATTCATTCATTCCTCCTCCAAATAGTTAAGTCCTAGTCCAGAATTCTGTCATGGTGGTTGGCTGTGAAATGACCATTGTGAGCATCAGCTCTTGGGGGGGGGGGGGGACAGAAGAACCAGAT